AAGAGACCATTTAAGTCTCAAGGATACTAATAGACATAAACCGTTTTGCAGTATCACCGACGATATGACCCATTTGCGACAAAAGTCTAACTGCAGTAAAGAACTTCTGAACATTTTAAATCCATTGTCTGGAGTTACTCTAATATAGGATGATCTTAAAGTTTTAGTATTTTTGCTGTAGTTTCCAGCCCTTTTTTATTCCCAAGTGGTGGGAGCATTTACTTCGTTCGAGGTAGAAACTTCTCCTTTATACTAAAAGTACCTATTGGTAAAAGTAAATTTGGTAAAAGTAAATTTGTGTTTAGCTACGGCTCTTTATGCGCCTAAAACTATTTTATCAAATTCTTTTTACATTATAATATGTCCTAGCCTATTACCCTTTAGTTTACCTTGTTCAAATATGCAGATAAGACACCATCATACAACTATTACTTGAAAATTTTCACATTGTTGCACAATTCATTGCTGACCAGAAGCACAAACTGCAATTAAGGCTCGGTGGAAATGGGCTATTACATCGCTTACATACGCATTTAATGGATGGCGTTTTCTGCAGAACTATTTATCTTGTACTTGGTGTTGGTGGTTTATTAAAGTTTCGGTATATTTCTAGAATATGTTGTCCATTAACCGCTGGCCTTTTGGAACTGTATTAAAATAACTAGATACGTAGCAATCGCTGAGCTAAACTGTAAAAAAATAAAAGAAAATAATTTAAATATTTAGTTCAGAATTTGATATAAGTACATATGTGATTACAGGGCACTATAAAATTTTACTGTAGTTAATGCTCAGAAAAAGTATTTAGGAAAATGTTTTAAATGCGAAAACGTGGAAAAGTCGAAAGTAAGGCTCATACAAACTTTTTCTATTTTCAATTTAAATTTTGGCTACCTTCAACTTTAGAGAAGCATACTCCCTGATAGTGCAAGGTGTGAGCCAGAAGGTGAGTGGGTTAGGATTTCCCATCCGGTACCATCGAGATAAATTTTGACCACTTGCGACATCATCATCATCATGATGGAAGTTCAATGACTTACGTCTGGTTGCCCACTCTGGCCATATTTCAGCAGTGATTGTCTGTGGAGAGCCCCATCGATCGTCTGACCACTTTTCAGAAGCTCTGATATAGGATAGGATTGTGGTAAAACCAAAGGCAGAGCAATACTTTGCTGCCATTCATATTTAGCTTTGGAGTCGGTAGTCCGGATTCAACGTGCTTAGCATACGGCTTCTGGCGCTTTGGATTCTCATATGATAAATGAGCTTTTGGGAAACAGTGAAACGCCGTTCGATATCTTGGGGTTTGACTTCCTGAAGCACCCAGTTTCCGACTTCCTGGACCATAGCATGCTTTTAAATCGCAATGAAATGACTGGTTCTTCTTGGGTTTGGCACGAGTCTTCGTACAAAACTGCCTCCAATTCAACGGCCTTCCTTCGGGCTTCTTTTCGTTTGGGTCTAAAGTACCACTTCTGAAACGGCGGAACCAGTACTCATATGTTGAAATTGATAGAGCCTTTCTACTAGATTTATTCCAATAAATTTAAGCAATTACTTCCTCTTAAAATTTCAGAGCTTCTACTAGATTTATTCCAATAAATTGAAGTAAAAGGTCTGAAGTTTTAAGAAAAATTGCCAGCAATTGCTTACTTTTTATTCATAAGGCCCAAGAACTCCTATAGAGAGTGATTTGCTGAGATACCAATTAAAATAGGTAGTACAGACTTTGATCGTTTTATGGGCTCCCTTGATTGCCTTCGATACTCTCGTGGCTCAACGCTCAGTTTTCCTCTTGTTGTCCAGCCCCCAGGAATAGTTCCATGACCTATGTACCAATTTTAACTCGACGTAAAGGCGTGCGGCCATTGTGAGAGTGCATTACTGCTTGTGGAAATTTTGATTCCACGCGATATTATGTAGATGTTCCTTGACTTAGCTTAGATGTAGTTAGAAAACATATACAGCTTCTTCTGACGCCGCACATGCTCTTACAAACCTGTACCCCCGATAATGGAGTCACAATGGATGGTGTTAATAAATGTTCTAGAGCTTTCAACTCTCTCTCCCTATCGAAATGTAAAAATGTGCTGATAGACCAATAATGGTGACTTTCCTGTTATAGCTTTCATAGTCGACAACTTTAGTCGACTGAGCTTTTTAGATTGGCTTATAAAATACCAGATTACATATTACCAAATTACGGACGATACTAAAGCATCCGTCCCTAATATAAATAATCTATTAAACTATACACTCACCGATGTCAATATCTTTCTATTAATACGACAGAGCCCCAGCGCCGAGAATTCTATGTCATTAACCAGCAATTGTTGCCAAAATCTCCTGATCTGTGGAAAAAATATTGTAACAGTTTATACTCGTACTCTGTAAGTACCCACATGGAGAAAGAAACGGAAATAAGCAAGACTTACCTCTTCAGCCAGTATAGGCTCATGAGTTTTTCGCTCGATTTCAGATAATATTTGTATGGTTTTCTTTGACTGCAAATAAACAAAAAAAAAATTAGGTTTTTATTTAAATCTAGAACAAATAATTAAGCGATTGCTTTAAATTAACAAGCAATTTTTAAGTAAAAAACAAAACCGACTTCAATTCCGATATAAAAATTTAAGAGTACCGTTAATTTCTTAATAATCCAATGATCGGGTCTGAACCAAATTAGAATGGGACCACTTATGAGGTACAACGTTTCCTTTAAAA